GTCAGAACGCAGGGTCATGAGCAAGGACCTGACGACAGCCAGACTCTTGCATCATTTCTGACGCAAGACCGTGATGTCTAGGGGGTTTAGGGTTCGGAAGGCGTGCGACCGGGCAACAGCCAAATTATTGCATCTTTGCTGAGGCAAGACCATGATGTCTAGGGTTTAGGTTTATTAGGATTTGGGAAGCATGCTCACGGGAGCTGCGAGTATAGGTGAGCTCAGAACGCAGAGTCATGAGCAAGGACCTGACGACAGCCAGAGATTACTGCATTCTTGCTGAGGCAAGACCATGATGTCTAGGGTTTAGGTTTATTCGGGTTTGGGAAGCATGCTCACGGGAGCTGCGAGTAGGTGAGCTCAGAACGCAGAGTCACGAGCAAGGACCTGACGACAGCCAGAGTATTGCATCATTTCTGACGCAGACCGTGATGTCTGGGGGGGTTAGGGTTCGGAAGGCATGCGACCGGGCAACAGCCAGATTATTGCATCATTGCTGAGGCAAGACCATGATGTCTAGGGTTTAGGTTTAGGGTTGGGAAGAATGCTCACGGGAGCAGCGAGTAGGTGAGGTCAGAACGCAGGGTCATGAGCAAGGACCTGACGACAGCCAGACTCTTGCATCATTTCTGACGCAAGACCGTGATGTCTAGGGGGTTTAGGGTTCGGAAGGCGTGCGACCGGGCAACAGCCAAATTATTGCATCTTTGCTGAGGCAAGACCATGATGTCTAGGGTTTAGGTTTATTCGGGTTTGGGAAGCATGCTCACGGGAGCTGCGAGTAGGTGAGCTCAGAACGCAGAGTCACGAGCAAGGACCTGACGACAGCCAGACCATAGCATCGTTTCTGACACAAGACCGTGATGTCTAGGGGGTTTAGGGTTCGGAAGGCATGCGACGGGCAACAGCCAGATTATTGCGTCATTGCTGAGGCAAGACCATGATGTCTAGGGTTTAGGTTTATTAGGGTTTGGGAAGCATGCTCACGGGAGCTGCGAGTAGTGAGCTCAGAACGCAGGAGTCATGTTGCATCGTTTCTGACGCAAGACCGTGATGTCTAGGAGATTTAGGGTTCGGAGGGCATGCGACCGGGCAACAGCCAGATTATTGCGTCATTGCTGAGGCGAGACTATGCTGTCCAGGGAATTCAGAGTCATGAGCCAGGACCTGACGACAGCCAGACTATTGCATCATTTCTGACGCAAGACCGTGATGTCTAGGGGGTTTAGTGTTCGGAAGGCATGCGACAGGGCAACAGCCAGATTATTGCATCATTGCTGAGGCAAGACCATGATACGCGGGAGCTGCGTATAGGTGAGCTCAGATCTCGCTCAGAGGATTGAGAGTCACGCGCAATCTGGTGATGCACGACGACGATTCATGTGGTCTAGGCTCAGGGTTTAGCGTGCGTGCTCACGGGAGCTGCGTGTGGGTGGTGACCTCAGATCTCCCTCAAATTTCTGAGAGTCATGAGCAAGGACCTGGCGATAGCCAGATTGTATCTCTGATGCAAGACAGGTTTTCTTTCTTCTTGGTGGGTGCTTCGGCTACTTTTACGTGGTGGGTCGACACGATACACACCTGCCGCTGAATCATCTTGAGAGTGGCCCATGGTGACTTTTCTGGGCAAGGAGGCAGCGTGCGCGATGCGACGAGTCACTGTAGTACGGCCTCTCCATGGAGGTCCTCAACTGATTGCTTGGAGTGAGGTCCGCGACCATATGTGGCGTGGTCTTGAGTGTGTAGAGTGTATAGTGCTGGCGCAGTAGAAATTCACGGAGCTGTCCTCGGCAGCTTTGCATGTCAAGCGAAGGAAGCGAGGATGGACGACGAGAGAGTTAGAGAGAACGCGGCAGAGTCGGGATCGTATCGCGAAATCGCACGGCGAGCGTTCTGGAGCTTCTCTTGTGGGCTCCTCATCGCGGGGCGGGGGGGGGCAGGGCGCCCTCACAAGGTAGCCGAGGAAGGCGTGAGTGTAGAAAAACGGCAGAGTTGCCGATCCGTCAGGGTCGCGCAAGTGACTTGTGCGCTTTGCATCCAGCTAGCACGTTTGCCGTCAGTGGAGCTTCTTGCAGTCGTAAGGGGAGTAGCCAGTGTGATCGGACTTCGACAAAGGCGCAAGGTATGTGAAGGGGAGAAAGAGTTTCCTGGTGCACTTGGCATGATTTATGTTGCGTGGTCATGTAGCGCTGGCAAACGTACTGTGTGTCTGCTCATGATGAGAAGCAGTCTCGAGAATGAGCAAGAGTCGCCGAGCTGGCCCGCAACTGAAGCAGAACATTGAAGCAGCATGTATTTGCGACAAGAAGCAGCAGATACATGGCTTGGAGTGTGCGCTTGCGGCCGCTTGCGCCAATCCCGACTATGCAGTAGCCCATGCAAAAACTGTACGTCTACTCCGGCTAGAGTCTAGAGCAGAGTCAACAATGCATGCTGAAACCAGCAATGTCTCCTCTCTCAGCAGTGTGGCCTCACCTGGTGCAGACGAAGATGTAGCCTTCTTGAAAAGATTGCTTGCTGCCAAAGAGGAAGAGTGTCGGCAGCACCGGCGAGAGCTACATCGTCTACGGGTGCTGTCAGCAGCCGCGTTGGAACACATCGCGGGGGCGCGCAAGCGAGTGGAGCTGAATCCCAAGGATGCTCTGGACAATGTCGAAGATATTCTGGAGGGCAGAGGCTTGGAAGCTTACTTTGAAGATCCAGATGAAGGACGTCGTGGTAATCTTGCAGACCGTAGTCAGGCGACGTGCAGCGACGCAGCAGCCGGGGACATGACTACGACGGAAAGCGCGCAATGGTATTCTCCGTCACAGCACTTCCGAAGGGACGAAGTGGTGGAGCTGGCTGCCACACTTCTGGATCCGTCAACGCAGGACATGTCGATGACGCATGCTTAGAGCTTGGCTGTGCACGGTGGGATGCAGCCAGATCATTTCACGCGCGCATTCGCGCACGAGGTCTGTGTGTATGTATGTACATGAACACACGCTGCATGTGGCGCGAGCATGTGCAAGGCCATGTCGAACCTTCGCGTTCTTTCCGGCAAGAAGGCCTGGGCAGACTACGCCGTGGAGGCAAGGTCGATTCGCAGCATGGCGTCTGGCGCACAGATCGCGGAGTGAGCGCAGGAGGACGCCAAGGGCTACCTGGACGCACATGGCGCGCTCGCTGTGAAGACACCAGTCAGAGGCTGAGAGCAGAAGAGTAAGCGAACAAATTACGTGCAGGGGCTGCGCGGCTTATGTGGGCAAAGCGTTGAGGTCGGCTTCATCCAGATCAACAAGGCAAAAGAGGGCAGCGCTTGGAGGATGCAAGAAGCCAGTGTGTCGAGCTGGCGTCGGGTGTCGTTGCAGGCGTATCTGCAAGACGCCCGGCAGCCGCGCAGGGAGTGCGTTCCTTGACCGCAGCGTGCGTTCAAGGCAAGCTTGGCCGGACATGCGAGCTTGCAGGTGCGCCCGCAATCAGGAACGTGCCGGAATATCGCCCAGGCTCATGTCACGGAACGAATGAGCTCGTAGTCGTGTCGTGAGACTTGCTTGTGCGCATAGACGGCGTCGAGAAGTAACAGTCTTGACCTTTGAAGGAGCTCAAGAAACAAAGAAGGAGCACGAGGTCGGGGTCTGGCCATGATGATGACGAAGTGTTGAAGGACGCGCTCATCGTGGCCGAAGCAGAGCGGAATCAAGGTCTGTATCTCCAAGTGGATTGGTGTGGCTTGGCTGGATTAGTGTTGCATGACGGAGCAATGAGTGGTGTAGCTTGTGTGAGTTACTTGGGAGAAGGGCGCAATTAGTTGCGGGTTTCTGTGGACATATCCTCCGCCGAGGCGAGCGCCGACGCTGGGGACTCACGAAAGCACAAACAATTGCCTACAAGAAATCGCGGCGTCCTCAAAGTCGACAGCCGTCAAGATGTCCTGCAGCCAGTCAATGTCGGTGCGGTTCGCAGTAGGGTCTTTCTCAGAGCGCACTGTCTCCCGAGGTTGCTTGCGTCGCCTCCGGACGCTGTACGCTTTGCCGACACGTGCTTGATTGACTCCCTGCGAGCCCTGGGCGTGCGGGTCCCGTACACGCGTCATGGTCCGTTCTGGGCTCTGAAGGAAGGAAATGAGTTTTTGAAGCCACGCAAGTGCCTCGCTTGCAGTGATTGCAACGCATCGAGCATCTGTCATAGGGAACATTTCGTGAAGACAGAAGCATTGCCAGTTGCCTGTGTGTCAGGCTTGGCTTGATAACAGATCCCGCAGTGCCGGGTGAGGATTGGGCACCTGGCAAGTACGTGATTTTCGTGGAAGGCTCGAGTCACTTCTATGGCATAGAGGTCTTCGAAGATGGAGAAGCCTCAATTTACATGTCGTGCAGGCGGCATGAAGGGCAGCCAGTTGATCTGCGCGCCCTGCATGTTGATCAAAGGTACAGAGTCGTACGTGCCGAGGAAGGTGAGCAGCCATTGACTTCCGCCGCTATACAGAGTGGCAACGGTCGGGAGAGTCTGCCGGTCGGTGCCAAGTGCGGGGAGGAAGTCGTGTCGTGGAGCGGGACGCTTGACATCTGATTGAGCAGGTCGGTTCATGATGATGTGCTGTTCTGTAAGGTACAAACGATTCTGATACTTTGTCCTGTATACAGACACACAGTCACAGTGGTGTGCGGGCAAGAGTCTTTCTGCAGGCCGCAGTCCGAGACGGCGCAGATGGGTGTGAGCGTGCAGAGTCCAAACTTTATGCAAGATAGACGAGGAGGTGCTGACGATTTTGACGCACAGTCTATCGGAACACTGTCTTCATGTCCGGAAGACTTAGAGGAAAGATTGGAGCCGCTCGCATGGGTGACGTATGCGTGCGAGAATGCTACATGGTTTATGGCCTTTTCTT